CTAGTACAATACAGAAGAACTACCAAAGTGTTTCAAAGAAGGGTTGAGTTCTCTTGAGGTAGGTTTGCTTTTGGCTGGGCTTTTCAGAAGGTTGGGCTTTTTAACCCAATAAAATCTCTCCCTTTCGGCCTAATCAAAAAGCCTCTTTCCACACAGATTTTAATTGGGCAGGTATTGGGCCGGGCCTATAGGTTTTATAAGGGGTTTAAAAAGAACCCAATTTTTACCTCAATGTTTTTTCAATCTGATATTTTTTCATATGAGGGTAAAATAAAGTTTTCTTGACTCTCAAATCCTGTAATTTTTATTCATTTTACCTCTTTTTTTTAGAGTAGACAAAAGTTTTCTGGATTCTCAAACCATGTAATTTACTTCCGGTAGAAGAGTCTAACTCTATTTTCGGTCATCTCTTTGAGATTGGTCGTACTTTCTTGTCTGGAGAGTGGTCGAACTCCCGAACATTATGCTAAGATCTTTAAAGTCACATTGGAAAGTGACTACCTTGAGACTCTCTGGTTTTGCCACGAAAATCCTCTTGACCCATCCGAGTCACGACTTGGGTTCACTGTCCATTTTATACGATGATCTATCTGCTTTATGTTTTATCGCATTTTAATTATAATATATTAACGTCGGAGGATGCTTCATTCTCTCTTTTTGTACTCTGATTTAAATAATGAAAAAACTTGTTGACAAATAAAAAAAAATATCAACAGAAAAGGGAAGAAATTTATTATTGTTCTGGTTTTCTTAAGGCGATATGATCGAGAGGGGTGAGAAGAGAAAAAAGGGGAGGGGAATCGTAGGAGAGTAGAAGCCGGATTTTCATACTGAAGATAATAGCATCAAATCTGTGGGGATGATCCAGCCGGTTTCGATTTTAAGTTGGAAGGCGAAGGTAAGCGAAAGAGAGGAAGAAGATCTGGGAATTTTGCAGGTTTGAAGGGGAAGAAGTGGGGAAATCGGGAAAAAGTAAGCAGAGATGAGGAATCAATAGAAGAAAGGCTAACAATATAGAACTTTGATGTAACGAAGTAGTAGCTTTATTTGTAAGGATCTCATGGCTATGTCGCGAATATAAGAACTTTACTGCTTATTCTTGAATGTTAAGGTATAGGGTAATGGAATGCGAATGGTTGAAAATGAAAAAGATAATTTAGTAGTGATGAGAGGAAGAAATTAGGGGGAGATCGTGAAGGTTTTTTAGTTTTACGTTAATGGTGACTACTATTTTTTGTTTATTTTATTATCTCTCAAGAACTTAATCTTCTATTATTTCTACTCCGTTTGTATCTGTATATTTTTCTTCTTTCTCCCAGAATCATAACTTTTTCTTAGATAGTAG